TATTCATTGTTACTTGATATTAACTAATGTAGTTCATTCATGTTATCAAATGAAAACTTATTGTAAAGTGTTACCAAATTTTCCTGGTCTTACTGTGCACAGTGATAATATTTTATCATAATTTGTATTTTTACTCTGCTCTGATATAACCAAGGCCATATGGGTGGGAAAGAAAAATATCAAACCAATAATATCACAATCTATTTTTGTATTGTATCACAATACAATCAAATCTATATTAATACAAATACCTACAATATTTATTACATTAATTCCCACTTCGTTTTTTTCTCAGAAATACACCAAAGTTGTTGTGGATGCAGTTTCATGATATAATCAGTCACTTATCAAGCATTCAGCGAATGACATGGGATGCTGACCTGGGCTCTTCTGAGGTGAGACAGATGCTCCTCAACAGATTTTCGCAGGTTGGACGGTACCTTCAGCACACTGTCGTGGTTATCAATCATAAACGTGACCAGCTTGGTGGCCAACAGCTCGTCCAAGTCCACCTCATCCGCAGATCCCAGAATGCACCGGGAGAAGGTCTGGACCATCTGCACAGGAGCGAAGGAAGGCACCCACAAGAGACAGACCGTGTGAAAGCTGCTCGTAGAATCTACTGAACGCTGAGCTGAATTATAAATTAACTATGACGGTCAGTGATTTGCAAATAATTAACTTGTACAGAGAACATCTATCTGAGGAGTTGAGTGATTTACCAGGGTACGAGCTCCTATGGTGTCGTTCAGAGCGGGGAGACAGGGGTTGGCACAGACTTTAGCCATCAGACGCATTAACAGCTGCAGTTTACGACGGTTGGCTGGAGGCAGCAGGAGACAGCAGACCTGCAGCGCTTCAACAGCAACCGACTGCAGAAGCCCTGCGGGAGGAAAACAGTTACAAGAACACTTATGCTCCCAAAAGCTACTTTTATTTGAGCTGACATTTATATTACGATATTATGAAATATTATTTCTATTTAAAATAACTGTTTTCTATTTGATTATATATTTTAAAAGTGTAATTTATTCCTGTGATCAAAGCTGAATTTTCAGCATTATTCC